GAGGGAAAATTTTGGGGTACAACACTAGCCATTTCTTGCAAAGTCCTATTCTTCCTCTCAACAACTCCCTTTTGTTGTGGAGCTCTAGGATAGGAGAAATCATGGAAAATGCCATTTTGATCAAATAGCTTTTCAAAATATTGTTTTCAAATTCTCCACCATGATCACTTCTAACCTTGACAATTTTGAGATTCATCTCATTTTGAACTTGAGCACAGAAGGTAGTGAATACAAAATGTGACTCATCCGTGTGTCTAAGAAACTTCGCTCATGTCCATCTATTGTAGTCATCTACATTTACTACCCTATAATTCTTTCCACTAATTGACGCAGTTATCACTGGCCCAAACAAATCAATGGGAAGAAGTTCCAATGGTATGGAGGTGGAAACAACATTTTTTGCCATGAAAGAAGTTTTCGAAAACTTGCCTTTCTGACATGCTTCACAAAGAGCATCTGTAGTAAACTTCAGTTTTGGCAGGCCTTTGACAAGATCAAGCTTGTTCAGTTGAGAGATTCTTCTCAAACTAACATGACCTAAACATTTGTGCCACGTCCATTTCTCTTCATTAACAGACATGAGACATTTTACATTTTACTCTTTAAGGTCAGAAAGTCTGATCTTATAGGTGTTGTTTCTTCTCTTTCCATTGAAAAGGATAGAGCCATCTTTTTTACTAACATCTTTACAGAAATCTTGATTAAAGATTATATCATAACCATTATCATTTAATTGACTTATAGATAATAGATTATACTTTAATCCTTCAACAAGTAAAACATTAGTTATAGAGGGAAAATAACCATTACCTACTGTTCATGAGCCTATGATCCTTCCTTTTTGATCTCATCTAAAACCTACGATGCCTTCATGCTTAAGATTTAGGCTTATGAACATATGTCTTTTTCCCGTCATGTGTCGCGAGTAGCCAAAGTCCAGGTACCATGATGTGTGTTTTAACTATGCTACTAAGGATGTCTCTTTGCAAAAATTTTCTTCTATTTCTTAATCAGCTTCATCTTCTTGAGAGATTACTTCATTGAATATTCCAACATGAGCCATCAGCACCATGTTAGCATGTTCTCCTTCTAAGTCTGAGTCATCCCTTGTTACCATTTTCCTTTTCTTCTCGCCTTTGAGAGCTCTCTTCTTGATGTTGTCCTTCAAAAGCTTAGGACAATCAAGTTTGTAGTGTCCTGGCACATTTCACTCATAACAATTAACTTTGTTGCCACTAGACTTCCTTTGATCAGAAGGTTATTCGAAGCAACCTCCAGTACTTCTTGAACTTCTAAACATGTTGCCTTGACTTCTCTTCCAGATACTATTAACCTTTCTGTACAACAGAGGCAACTCATATTCTTCTGAATCCTCTATCTCTTCTGCTTGAAGAGCTTTAGACTTCTCAGATTTCTTAATGGATTTGAGCCTAATAGATTTTATCTTCTCCTACAGTTCATCTTTCTCTAGATCAATCTCATGACTTCTTAAAGAACTTATCAGATCTTCTAGAGAAGTGTTGTTCAGATACTTTGCAAGCTTGAGTGCAAGTACCATAGGCCTCCACTTGGATGGCAAGCTTCTAATAATCTTCTTCACATGATCTGTCGCTGAATAGCCTTTGTTCAAAACTCTTAGTCCTGCAACCAAGGTTTGAAATCTCGAAAACATGACTTCAACGCTTTCATCATCCTCCATCTTAAAGGCTTCATATTTCTGAATCAAGGCCAGCGCCTTTGTTCTTTGACTTGATCATTTCCTTCATGAGTCATTTTAAGAGAGTCAAATATAGACTTAGCAGAGTATTTATTTATGGCTTTCTTATACTCAGTATAAGAAATTGCATTTAGCAAGATGGTTCTTGTTTTATGATGATTCTTATAATCTTTATTTTGTTGATTAGTCATAGCTCTCCTAGCTATCTCTTTTCCAATAGCATATGTGGGAGGTACGTAACCATCAACTACCATATCTCAAAGATCAACATTGTGACCTAGAAAGAAGCTTTCCAGTTTATTTTTCCAGTATTCAAACTTTTTACCCTCAAAGATGGGAGGTTTTACATTGTATCTTTTATTACTTGAATCTGAAGTAACTTTAGTTGTTGTAGGTTCAACCGTTGTGTTTCTTCAAAGAAAAACTCGTATGGATCTTTATCTGACACAGTTAAGTGTTTGATAACTATCAATACCAGAACTGGAGCTCTGATGCCAATTGAAGGTGTAAGAAACACAAGAAAGGGGGTTTGAATTGAGTTTCACCAAAAATAATTTTAAATGTTTTTGTTGATGAAAGACCAAGTTAACTTAGAACATAAAATTAAATGAACATAATTATTTTTATCCCTGTTCACTATTAACTAAGCTACTCCAGTCTACCTCTCAATGTGATTTGCCTTCAATAAAGACTTAATCCACTATAACCAAGATGATTACAGACAACCCGCAATAAGTCAGATCAACCTTATTGACACCCTCAATAAGCCAGTCGATCCTTATGGCAAATCCACTCAAACTGCATCAAGAGTCTTCTTGAGATCAGACTTTCACTTGGCCACTCAAGGAATCAATCAACAATGGTTGAATACTTTCAGTGTATTACAATTTGCTTCTTTTAAAAAGGTTACACAAATATTTCAGTATAAAGAAAAATACCTAAGTGTTTTACAGCAAGATACAAGCAACAATTCCTTGCCTATTTACAAAACTACACAGAATATTTCTCTAAAGAGTTGCACAACGCTTTAGTGTAGTTTGTTTGAGCTTTGAATTAATCCGATAGATTTTTAATTGTAATATTGATTCTTACTTTTCTTTAGCTTCCAAGTCTTCCTTTTATAGCTTGTCAAATAAATCCGTTGAAGGGGTAGAAAGGTAATCGGAAATCCAGTTGTTTGTTCCCAACGGTCATAACGAGAGTGATTGACAATAAAGTTCGAAAGGACTGTCCTTACGTCATCCTAGAGGGGAGAGGTCACATAGAACTTTTTGTACCTTTTGTACATCATCACATGTTAACCATTGTAAACTTCTTTTAATATTCAAAGGCTTCAAATAATTTGAATGTTTTAAGCTCTTTGTAGAAGAATCACTCTTAAGTCTTAGAACCTAAGTCATGGAGTCTTCAGAACTTGTCCCATCAAAACCTTGTCTTCAGAGTCTTCAGCACTTGGTCGTAAGAACTTGTTTTTCTTCAGATTATCAGAACTTGTTCAGCAGAACATCGTCTTCATAATCTTCAGAACTTGGAACACATAAAAGAAAATATTTAGAAGACCTCCAAAGCTTAACCACAAAGTCAGGATCAGAACCTCTTGTACTAATATTCCTAAGATTTGTTGGATAAGACGAATTCCAAAATCTTGACTTCAACTGTAACACATAATCAAATGTTTTCTTCCAATAGTGTTTATGTTCAGAACCTGATGACGTCATACGCCTTGATATCAGAGTTAGAACATTACAGCAACAACTACACACTAGAACAAAAACATTAGAGCACACAATTGTTCTTTATGATACCATGTAAAGTTATGAACAAAATCTTAAGACCAGATGTTGAAACACTTCTTGTTCTTACAGATATTACCTCAGAGAAACTTCAAAGGAAATCACTAACGAGACACTAAGGAAATCACTAGAAACTTAGTAACGATGATTGTATGTGAAATCAGGAAGAAAAGAAAGATGAACAGATCAAAGTGTCACTTGAATTCAAATAAGAATAGAAGGAAACCTGTGAGTGGCATATTGTTTGAGTAAGAAGATGAAAAAATCATTCCTAGTAAGGAAACATCTTTATATAAGAAGACAAAATAGACAAATATACGGTTTATAGTTGAGAGGCTCAAAATATGAAATCAACGATGAAGATCAACCTCATGATCAGAATGACACTCGATTACACTTAAGTGATCTAAACGACAATGTCACTTCCCACCCTAGGGACCTAAAGCCATGCGTAGGAATGATGTTACAAAACGTTTTAGTTATAAGACATGCATTTAATGCCCATGTTTTCAAGACCTCCTGCTCCCACACACTTGACTTTTCCACTTTCACTTTCGTAAAGCGAAGGCTTACATAGAAAACACAAGATGAAAATAGAGAGCAACCCAACAATCTCAATCCATAGTGAACTAAATAACATTAAGATCTTGAGGGACAATTGTTCTGAGTCGGTCAAAAGCCCAAAGTAGAAGAACCAATTACGAAGGCCCAATCCAGAGGTCCACCAAATAAGACATATGATCAGGTGAAACCTTGTTAGAAAGTTGAACACCTAATCCAAATCACCCAAGCATCACATGTGGTTAGATCTGATCGGACGACTCCCCACATCACATGTCGAATTAGATTGAGGTGGTTTCAACCTCATGTCTTATATAAACTCTACCACACACTAATTGCATAGATTATCTCACTCACTATCAAACTACGTCTCTCTGACTTTACTGACTAGAGTCATAACTTTGTAGGTCCACTATGTTCTGCCATACTTGAAACAGTCATAACTTTGTAGGTCTACTATGCTCAATCATAACTAAAACTCTAACCGCCACACTGAAAGAGATCATTCTCTCCACATCTACTTTTTCTTGTTTCACCATGAAACATAAATTATTTAAAGGACTTTATCCAGATCATTAGTTGTCAATTATTTACTAACAAATATAAATACATTTATAATAGGTTTTCAAAGACTATTTAAAAAGTCTTCATATATATATTTGTATTGTTTTTTATTTTATTCTTTTCCGATTCCTACATCCCAAATTGATCTGATTCTTATTAATAGCTTCTACATATGAATGAGTGATCTGAGAAATCAGCTACTTATCAGGTTCATCTTCATAGCTTATCTAGACACATCAAAATTAGGTGGTTCAACATAGGTAATAGTTATAACAGATTAAAGACATTCTCCCACAAAATCATTATATATTTTGGATGAAGTTTCATAGTCTCATAGAAAGGGAGCAAAAGTTCTGAATCAAGATTCAATTCTTGCTGTGATCATCTGAAAGCATTCCCTGAATTGTGTCAATGAAATCAAGTATAGTTCCAAGACTCTTTTCATCTGGATAAAAAAAAACCACCAAACAAATTTTGTACATAGAAAACAAATGTTCAAAATACATCCTTGAAACATCCATAGTTAAAAGTATTACAAAATTATCAAATGAAGTAAGTGACTTACCAAGTCTTGGGATTGTGTGTCCTTTTGGATGATGAATCACAACAGGGTCAACAAAAGCCTCTTGCAAAATAATGCTTTCTGGCTTCAAGAAATCTTTCTCACCTTAATCACATTATAAGAATCAAGTATATATTGATAAGTAATGTGACTTTTCAAAGTAAAATGCAAAGGAAAGAATAAATTAGAATTTAGAAGTGATTGAAACTATACCTATAATGTGAAGAGAGGGGCAATGAATTGGTTTTGAAAATGCATTAGAAGCTAGTTTAGGTGTTCCATATTTCATTCCACCAAACATGGCTCCTGATATCAGAATCAGGAACCTGATCTTGTTTATCTTCTGAAGTGCTACTCCCTAAAATCATCACCACCATCATCAATTCAATGCTTAATCAAGACAATCATAATTCAATTAAACCTTCAACTTCAATTTAATTTGGACAAACAATTTAATTAAGAGTTTATAACATAACCATTTATTATGAAACACAGACTCCGACACAGACATCAGGACACGACATGAGACAGACACACCGACACCTATGATACTAAAAAAACTAGAACATAGACATCACTATATAAATGATATTATTTGAACTTTATTTATCCATCTATTATTAAAAAGTTAAACATATTTTAGTCAAAATTAATACGTTTAATTCTTTATCGATTGCATTGCTTCAATATATATTTAACCCCTTTAGATATGTTTAGATGTGTTTGCGGTTTGTCCATAAAATATATATGGTGTGTTGAAACAAAAGAAAAAAATATTTCTTTTTAAAACGGTTATCTCTACAACACGTATTGTAGGGTGTAGACACCGATTTAAAAAGTGTCGAAACAAAGAAAAAAATTATTTTTGTACAGATACTTATCTGATTTTTCTGACACATGTTTGACTTTTCTAACCTAAGAAGCACGGATACCTCTAGAAATTGGCATGTTGTAGTGTCTGATGCACGTCGGTGTTTGATACTTATATGACACCCGTACGACACGTATTGGAAAAGTCAAACAAATATCATTAACAAAATTGTTTATTTTCTTTTCTTCGACACTCTTTAAATCAATATCTGACACTCGTATAACATTTATACAACACGATTCAAACAATTTTGACACATATTGTATGGTTTTCATATAAGTGTCGGGCAAAGACTATTACTAATTGAGGTATATGTGCTTCATAGACCATTTATCCCACAAGTGTTTATGTATTTATGTATAACCTAAACCTATTTCTATAAAACAAAAAGAGTTTATGGACATGTCAATGCATAAAGTAGTACCTGTTCCTGCATTCCTGGCAATGCAGCTGCTAAAAATGCTCCCTGATTAACATTAAGTAATGATAAATCAAAATCAAAAGAAGAAAAAAAACTGCATTTTCAGGTTCGAATCCAAGCAATGAAGCAATCAAAACCGTACCTGAGAAAATCCAAGTACACCATCAAAAGGACCATTTTGCAGCATATAATCTTCAATGTATGTTAAACATTGTTCAAAGTTCCTATACTCAGTAAAATCCTCATTGGATTGGAACCATTCATAATAAGGTGGACCAAAAATGCCTTCAACATCTGATTTTCCTTGTGCTGGAAATTGACCGTCGATGAAAACAAGGTCCAATTTTTGTAGTACAGTTTCAGGCCAACGTAAGACTTGGGTCTTGAGGATTTGACCACTTGTTCTGAATCCATGGAGACACAGGATTTTGGGTTTTTTCTGGATTTGTTCTTCCATAGGATAATGTCACTTGTTCAATATTGTCGGTGTTTCATTTTAATGTCTCTACCAACGCAATCATGACGCATCACATTCAATATCTTTTTATTTAAAAGAGTAATTATATTCCATAAGACACGTTTTTTTTTCCTGCTTGGTAATTAATTACATTGAAAAATTCATATTATTTTTTCCAGACCCCTATAATTGTATATGTATTTCAACCATTTTTTAAAAATGTCTTTGATATTTTTAACGATTTTATCATTTTATTTTTCACTATTTATTATTTTGAAAATTTCATTCCTACGTAGTAATTCGGGAAGACTTTCAAGATCACTTCTGATATGTATTTATATAAACCGGAACACATAACATTTAATATGACTTCTGATTTTTTTCAAAAAGGACTTTAATAAGGTGTTCTGGTGTTGGATAAAAACATCTAGCATACTGGAGTAGTTTACTAATGTCTTTCGGAAGTAATTTTTTAATCTGAAACACTTTTATTAAGTCTTTCTATTTAAAACCGGAATACTTTTATTAAGTCTTCTGGAATGTTTTTATTTATTTATTTTTCTTTTTTTAAGTATGGAAATATGTGTAAAAAATCAAATATATGTAGATACATCTGATATATTCACAATTGCTCAGAAATTCGATACACGAGAAGAGGTGATAAGATGAATTAAAGAGGCTGAAATCAGAAATAAAGTTACTGTTATTATCACTTATTCAGATACCGAAATAGGCAAGAGAGGAAGAAGTAACAAAATAATATTTAGGTGTGATAAAGAAGGAAAATATAAGGATACAAATGGTGGAACACAAAGTGCGACTAAAAAATGTGGATGTCCATTCAAAATCAGGTCAATTCCGGCAAAAGATGGGTCTGGGTGGAAAGTTGATGTAAAATATGTGGAGTTCATAACCATGGTTTACCTGATAGATTAGAATTTCATTCCTTTGTTGGTAGATTGATAACAAATGAGAAACAGCATGTTGTTGATTTGACAAAAAGACATGTTTCTCCTAGACACATATTAATTTCTTTGCAAGAGCGAGATCCTGAGAATGTCACTCGGATTACGCTAGTAAACAATCATAAGAGTGTGTTAGAAAAAGAGATAAGAAGTCCTAGAAGTGAGATAGAATATTTGCTTAAGCTTATAGAGGATGCAAATTATGTTTTCTGGAGTAGAAAAAGAGACGACTCAGAAGTTGTGAGAGATATTTTTTGGACCCATCCAGATTCAGTTAAGTTGTTGAATATTTTCTCTATTGTGTTAGTTACAGACAACACTTATAAGACAAACAAATATAGACAACATTTGTTTGAAATTTTTGGCATGACATCGACTGAGTTAACATTTGCTTTTGCATTTGCTTATATGGAGTTTGAGCAGATAGAGTTTTTGTTGGGTGTTGGATAAGCTAAAACAATTATTTGTGAAGAAAGATTTGTGTCCACAAGCGATTTTGACGGATAGAGATCTTGCATTGATGAAATCAATTAAAGTTTTGTTTTCGACGAAGATTAATTTGTTATATTGATTTCACATTAACAAAATTGTTGGTGCAAAATGCAAGCAATATGTGGTGAAAGACACGCAAGAGACGATATACACATTATGGATGAAAGTTGTATGGACTAGTGATGAGGTTGAGTATGATCAATGGTTAGAACAACTTGAGCATGTATATGTTGATTGTAGTGACTTTATTGATTATGTGAAAGACACATGGTTGACTCAATATAGGCAGAGATTTGTTGGAGCATGGATTAATCGTGTGTTTCATTTGGGTAACACCACGACTAATTGGCACGAATCATTTTTTATATTGTTACCTTTTATTATTTCTTACTATGCATTATTTATGCATTATTTTTTACTAAGCATTATATTTTACTATATATTATTTTTAGGGTTGAGTCTGCACAATGGAAGTTAAAGCAGATGTTAGGAAATAGTTTAGGTAACATGGTCAAATGTTGGGAAGCTATGAATAACAATTTGAAGCTTCAAATAGGCAACATTCGAGCTTCTTTTCAAAAAAGATTTCAAGAAGTTGAGCATGCATATGTAAGTTCATTTTATGGTAATATGCGTGGTTTTGTATCTCGGGCTGCTTTGAGACGCATTGCTGAAGAGTTATTGAGGGTGGATTATGTTGGTACTAACAGAAAAATATGTGGTTGTACTCATAGAACATCTTATGGGTTACCTTGTGCTTGTGAGTTACGAAGATACACACTTGGTAGTATATTGATACCAATAGACAATGTTCATGTTCAATGGAGGAAACTAAGTATAGAAGTTGAGTTACAGGTAGATGTAGATGATAAATCAGAGGAGAATATGAGTAGGGAAATGGATGAATTATGGAGAAGGTTTAAATCACTATATGTTGTTAGGAAAATAGCATTAAAGAGTACGATTTGTGAACTTGCTTACTCCATAACAACTTCATTATGACCACCATCTGAGAAAATAAAAACCAAAGGAGGAGTGAAGAATAAAATGGCCACACTCGTTGAATATGACGTTTATAGGGATCCCGCATATCATGAGTATGTTGATAATTCATCCCAATCTTCACAGAGGCAATCTCAACCATCACAAACGTCGAAGAAGTCATAATCAAATAAGCTGGGAATGTTGCATATGTTCACTCTTGAGTTTCCTAATCATATTAGGGAATATATTGAAGATGTAATTAATGTTCAAAAATATGGTAATTATGGATTTAGAGTCATTGCATCATTGCAGGGATATTCTGAAAATGGTTGACCAATGGTTCGCCGAGACTTAGACATGGAAATAAGAGACCAAGCAAGATCGAGTTTGTATGGTAAGTTATTTGTAAATCGTATATCAAAAGTGAAGAGGGTCTTTGATGATAGAGATTGTTGGTCAATAGCCACCAGAGAAGTGGTTGACTCTACCAGATATGGGCTACTTAATTATGAATCGCTATAATGTTGTACTTGTTCATTTATGGAATTTGTGCTTGAATTTTTTTTCCTATGACGAGCTCACATTCACCAAATGCGACTATTTGGTGCATTGGTTTAGTAAACCATAATCATTGGGTTCAGGTATTTACTTTACTTTAATTATAATATAGGACTAAATTTAATTTTTTTAATATATATGACTAACTTTACTTTTTCTAACCACGTAAACATGAAAGAGAGATTTCCTTTCCATATCTCATAGAGAGTAGTTGAATTACCTCTTCTTAATGTGACCCTATTATGAATGTAGCAAGCAGTACTCATGGCTTCATCCTAAAAATCCAATGATAATTGCTTAGCTGAAAGCATAACTCTAGTTGATTCCTATATAACTCTAGTCTTTTTCTCAACAATTCTATTTTGTAGAGGAGTTATAGAACAAGAGAACTCATGACTAATACACTAAGAATCATAAAATTTAGAGAATTTTGCATTCTCAAACTCCTTGTCATGTTCACTTCTAACCTTGACAATTACATTATTCTTCTTTTCTTGAATGCTTTGACAGAGGTTTTTGAAGACTTCAAAAACATCTGATTATTCTCTAAGAAAGTTCATCCAAGTATACATAGAAAAATCATCTATAACCATATAAACATACCCCTTTTCACCCAGACTTTCTATTTTCATTGGTCCCATTATATACATATGAAGAAGCTTAAGCACTTTGGAAGTAGTCTGATGTTGCAACATTTGGTGTGACGTCATAGTTTGCTTTCCAATTTCACACTCATCATAGACTTTCCCTTCTTCAATATTGAGATCTGGATTTCCTCTAATGCCTCCTTTAGATATGATTTCCTTCATTCTTTTAAGATGAAGATGTCCAAGTTTCTAGTGCCATAACTTCACTTCATTCTCATTGAATATTGAACATGTGAAAGAGTAAGCAATTATTTAAGATTCCCACCAATTAAAGTTGTCTTTAGACCTTATACTCTTCATCATAACAACATTTTTTTCATCATTGACCAAACATTCATACTTTGAGAAGTTAACTAATAGTCTTTGGTCACACAATTGACTAATGCTGATAAGATTAGCAGTTAATCCTTTCACAAGAAGAACATTTTCAAAATTAGGTGAACCAGCACACATCAACTTTCTAACTCCTTTGATTTCACTTTTAAAATCATCACCAAAACCGACAGTACATGTGGGATGAGACCTAATATCCACCAACAACTTCCAAACTCCTGTCATGTGTCTAGAGCATCCACTGTCAAAGTACCAGTCTTCTTTATTTGAGTCTCTTAAGGAAGTATGAGCAATAAAGCTAATATCCCTATTTTCAACACTTCTCTTTTTACTCACTTGATCAGTCCTAGAATGAACTGAAGATTTTTTATCTCAATACAATTTATAACAAAAAGGCTTTATATGACCATGCTCACCACAGTAATGACATCTCCAAGTTGAGAATTGAAATTTGGGTGACAGTGCATCATGTCTGCCAGGATGTTGTAACATTTGGTTGGACATGTTGATCATTCTTTTCTTTAAAGAAGGAAAGAACTTTTCTATAGTTCTTTGACTTTTTCGATTATTAAATGAAGGGTTATTAGTCATTTACTCCCCTACAATATAGGCGAGTTTTGATTTACCCCCCTTTAAAAAAATTTGATACATCCCTTGAAATATTAAAATTCTAAGTCTCTTACCCCCTAGGTGCAAATATTACCCCCCCTGTAAAATATTTTTTTATTTATCCCCCTCATTTTTACACACTTAGGGGGTACCCAAAAAATTACAAGGGGGTAATCAATTTTTTTAAAAGGGAGTAATTTAAAGCGCACCTATATTGCAGGGGTAAATGACTATTAACCCTTAAATGAATGATTAACCGTATAATCTTCAACTTCTTTTATCTTGTTAGCTCATTTTTCATTATTATCAAGGAATTTATTATGTTATTAAGCTTGGAATTCAAGAAAGCTACCTCGCTTTGAAGATGAGAAACAATACATAGAAGCTTCTTCTTTTCATTCTCTAACATAGA